TTAAAACAGAAAAAGGAGCCAGGCATGGTGATTCACACCTATAATCCCAGTGGTTCTGGAGGCTGAGGCAGAAAGATTGAGAGTTCAAAGCCAGCCTCAGCAATTTAGCAAGGCCCTAGGCAACTCAGAGAGACCCTATCTCTAAACAAAATACAAAAAGGGCTGGGGGATGTGGCTCAGGGGTTAAGCTCTGCTGGGTTTATCCCCACTACCAAAAAGAAAAAAAAAAGAATTAGTGATATAGCTCACTGGTAAAGCACCCCTAAATTCAATCTCCTGTACTAAAAAACAATAATAATAAATACACACACACACACACACACACCTATCATATACAGATATATTCAATTGAGCCAGATTGAATTAAGTTCATAGAGGAACAAACTAAATGAAATAATCAGAGAAATGTAAATCATCCTGCAACACAGCCTGGTTCTTTAAAAATGACAGTGTCATAACAGAATAAAAGAGATTAAAATGTTTTTGCAAACAAATGTGCAAACTGGGATTAATCATGGCTTGAAAAAAAATGGTTAAAAATTTTTTGGAAACCAATTGAGGATATTTGCATAGGGACTATATTAAATAATAGAGAATTCTCTTTTTTTTGGGGGGGGGGGGTATTGGAGACTGAATCCAGGGGCATTTTACCACTGAGCTAGATTCCCAGCTACCCCCACCCCCAGCCCTTTTTTTAAAAAAAATTTTGAGACAGGGTCCTGCCAGATTGTTTAGTGCATCGCTAAGTTACTGAGGCTGGCCTCAAACTTGAGATCCTCCTATCTCAGCCTCCCCTGTTGCTGGAATTACAGGTGTGTGCCACCATGCCCAGCAGTTCTCTAACTTTCCCAGTTAACTTTCTTAGTTGTGATAATAGTATTGTGATTGTATAGGAGAATGTTATCTTAGGAGATAACAAGTCAAAAAAAGGATGAAGCATCCTACACCCAGTGATATGCCCAAACCAAGTCCTAACAACTCAGAGCCAATCAGCCTTCATCATAGAATCAAATTTTTGAGGAGGTACTGTTGTTAAAGATCCAAGAATTTTGTGATCCCTAGACCCTGGCAGATTGAAATCAGAGAATGGAAATCTGCAAATATACAACTAGGGCTTCCCCCACCACTATACTCCTGAGAACTAACTTACCAGCATACCACTTCCTGCACCTTGTTTTCAAATGGTCCAGAGGCACATACATACATGCAGATAGAACAGCAATGACAAATCTTAACAACTGTTAGTGGCATGGTAATGCACACCTGGAATTCTGGCTACTTGAGAGGCTAAGTCAGGAAATTTGTAAGTTCAAGTCCAGCCTGGGCAACTTAGCAAGATTTCGTCTAACATAAAAAGGGCTGGGAATGTAGCTCAGTGGTAGAGCATTTTTCTAGCATGGCAAGGCCCTGGGTTCGGTCCTCAGCATTGCAAATAATAACAATGTAACCATGGTTGAGTCTAGGTGGAAGATACATGGTTTTTCATTGTATTAGTTCAGGAGTCAGCAGACCTTTTCTGTAAACGCCAAAATGTAAATGTCTTTGGTTTTGTAGGCCATACAGTCTGCAGTAGTAGCTCAACTCTACAGCTCTGCACAAAAGTATAGCCATAGCACAAAAGTAGCCATAGACAGTACATATTATAGACATCGTTATGTTCCAGCCAAACTTTATATGCTAAAACAGGGGACCAAATTTAACCCAGGGCTATAATCTTACATCTTTTCTGTTCTTTTAAAATACTTTTTGTTTTCTTCTAATTTTTATACTAAAAATTAGAAGAAAACAAAAGTACAAATATCTTAGTCTGGTTTTCAGAACTTTCCTGGGTCCCCTGACACTTAGCCCTGGAAGCTATGCCTCACTAATCTGTTTTCATTTTCTGGACACTCTGCACTCTTTGGTCTCCTCTGTGCCCTTGCTCAGGCTGGTTTCTTCCCATATCTGTTTATTAACATTCATGCCTGAAACCACACTCTGCAAGTCTTTCTAAGAGTCTCCCAACTAAAGTCAATCCCTCATTCTTCTCAACAGCTTAGTACAACCTTGGTTTGCTGCTTTTCATAGTTTGCCCTTCATTGGTTCTGGATCCATAAACTAGAGAAGGATCATTCTACTAGTACTTTACAAATAGTAGGTGCTCAATTAGTTCTTGCAATTTGAGCATCTAGTAATCTAGTAATGCAGATGTCCTCATGCTTACAGGTACCAACCTAGAAGTGTAGAATAGAAGAGAATGTTGGATTTTCCAATTTAGATTTGGCATGCATTCTGCTGTCATATATATCAAATTAGAATAAAAAATTTAAAAAATAAATAAATACTATGTAAAAAAATACCCTAAGTACATGTATGAAGACACGAATGGTWGTGAATATACTTTGTATACAACCAGAGATCGGAAAAATTGTGCTCTACAGATGTGTAGCATGAATTGTCATGCATTCTGCTGTCATATATAACAAATTAGGATTTAAAATTTTAAAAAAATAAATACTATGAATAAAAATAGATTTGGGGAGATTAAAGAAAATGAAAACAGGGGAGTGTCCTATCTATCTGTCTCTCTTATCTATCTATGTCCAGGACTGCTCTGATCCAAGTCCAGCTACCTTTGAGGCTATTGGGTATCAAGTCAAAATAATCTTGATCTGAGTGGATTCAATGGCTTTCTTGGCCATAGCTAAGGGTTTGGAGGGAGAACTAAGTCTCCTGAGCATCTGCAGTGATTTAGACACTCTCAAGCACTCTGTGCTCTCATGTACCCTATTCCCAGCAATCCTACAAAAAAAAAAAAAAAAAAACTGATATTATCCTCATTTAGAACTAAGAGCAGTGAAGTGCCTTCCATCAGATTGTAAAGCTGGAATGTGAATTTGAATCTTGCTGCCCCTGCTACCCAACACCATTTTAGTACCTCCATGCATTCAKCGATTGGCAAGAGACCAGAGAAACCCACGCTGGAATAGCCCCAGAATTCATATGCAGTTGAAATATCTGTGGAGTGCTAGGAACCTGGGGTTTAGTATTAAGTGCCTTTGGATGAGGCATCATCTTTGCCACTCTCCATCTATGATCTTAAGTCACTGAGTTTCTCTAGACCTCTGTTCTCTTGACTGTATAATTAGAGGAATAAACCAGCATATTTCTTTTTTTGTTCATGTTTAATGCATTATGCAGTAAGTAACATAAAACCTCATAAAGAGTAGATAAATGAATAGAAAATTGAAATACAATACTATATAATAAGGCTGCACTCCAGATGTGTCCAGGGTACTCTGGAATCCAAGAGGAAGAGCAACACCTAGCTCCTCAGGGCCACCATGGTAGCTGAGTATATTCCACCCAGGTAGAATTTGGGGAGCTGAGGGGGTGGAGGAGGGCAGTCCCAGGGGAGATGATAGGTGAGAACTGCAACTAGATGCCCTAAATACATGATGAAAGGGTACAGGGGAGGACATTGAAGCTAGGCTAGAACAAGATTGGGGAAGAGATGTCACTGCCTCCTGAAAAAGCTTGGACTTTTAAGGCAGTGGAGGGTTTTAAGCAAGGTCATATTTGTATTTTATAAATCTCTTGGCAGTGTGCCGTGTCGGATGGGGTTCAGGGGTGCAGAACTGGTGGTAGGAAGACTCTCTAGGAGGTGATTGCAAAAAATAGCCCAGGCAAGGGATGATGAGAGCCTGAACTAATGTAGTGGCAATAGGAAGGAAGCGTAGAGCATAAATCTGAGAGCTCCAAGGGAGAAGGACCGACTAGGACTTATTGACTGTATCAGTGAAAATGGCTTCAGATGATCTCATAGTCTTGGTGGCTTAAGACAACAAAGCTGGGTCTCTTGTCCCCACTACATGTCCATTTCAGGCAGAAGAGGCCCATGGTTTAATCACTCAGGATTCAGGCTAAGAAACAACTCCAAGTGCCAGAAGGAGAGCCCTAAAGGGACTCTCCTAGACAATTCAACACTACAGCCCAGAAGTGACACGCATCATCATCCACTACTAGACTAGAATTTATCTCCTGGCCTCACCCAGTCTGTGAAGGCCAGAGAGTTCAGTCATAGTGAGAAACCCCAGAATTGCCCTTGATCTGGGGACCCAGGAGGACTCCCCTTTCCTTACCTGGGGAATGAGGTAGACAGTGGAGATGGAAATGGGGCGGAGGAAAGTAGACAGACCAAATAGTTATTCTCTCCATGTCTAAAGTGTAACCATTTCATTGGTCTTTTTTTGTGATCAGAGAGAGGGATTGGAGTGAACTTCACCTGTCAGCAAGAGTTAATCATTTACAAAGGTTGTGTTGGTTAATTCTTCCCAAATAAAATTTTTCATCTTTTTTGTTTTGTTTTGGAGACTGGGGATGGGCCCAGGCACTCTACCACTGAGCTAYACCCCCAGCCCTTTTTATTTTTTGAGACAGGGTCTAAGTTGCTGAGGCTGGCCTGAAACTTTTGGTCCTCTCCTCTCAGCTTCGGTTACTACGATTACAGGCGAGCGCCGCTGTTCCCAACTCGTTGAAGTTGTCACATTCAGTCTAATAACATGTGTCGTTCTTGAATTTTCATATGGTCTATTGTGTTCACATATGGTGTTAAAAAGAAAGTTATGAACCAAGATGTTAGTGAAGGCTTCCTCACATAAGAATAGCAGTCGTCGAATTCAAAATCCCAGGGATGTAAATGCCCTGCGCCTTGGTGACTGCGCTCCCAGCCTGGCACATTTCAGCCTATCCAGGGGGGGGACAGGAGGAGGTGTAATTAGGCTGATTGGAGCCTATTGTGCTGCTCTGCGGCGCGGACAGGAGCAGCCTCGGGGAGTGTTAGTGCCTCAGGATCACTGGGGAATGATGTCCTCTTTCCTCAAAATAACGGAGCAGAAATACTGAAGCTACACTGTTTCTCCCCTTCTTTGTTTTTCCAACACCCCCCCCAGCCAAATTAATTGTGATCCTTATCCGGAACCCTAAAAACTGACTTTTATTGTGCATTTGTTTCTTAACAGTTGCGAGAAACAATCAAAGCTGGCAAAGGTGTGACTTCAGCTATTGACCTGTGTCGTTACCATGGAAACAAGGCACTGGAGGCCCTGGAGAGCTTCCCTCCCTCGGAGGCCAGATCGGCTTTAGAAAACATTGTGTTTGCTGTGACCAGATTTTCATGACACCAAATTAAAAAGACCCTATTGTTCCTTAGCTGAAAAACCTAGGGAATGAGGTGATTGGAAGAGCTTTTGTGAGGAAATATCTAAACGTGTTTATGACTTTAAAATATACACATTTTCCCCCTTCCTTTTATCACATTGCTAAAATGAATACCACCTTCATTTTGGAACTGCTACAAACAAAATTAGAAGGAAAAAAAAAGGTCAAGCAGTTTTCACTTGTCACGCCAGAAGCACACTTGAGGCTGCAGCAGCAGAAATAATTMATGAGATTCGCTCCTGTGACCTCAGCAAATGGACAGGAAATAAGTCCTTATTGATTGGACCAAGCCACGGATGGCGCCAGGGCGGTGGCCTGTGGTTTTCCTTCTAGAGAGGACAGAGCAAGCTGGAAGCTGCAGGTGTCAAGAGAAACACTCTGGATCCCAGCCAGGAAGGACTGTCAAATCAGAAACCACTGACCCATCTGTCAAAAATGGAGAAGAGTTCCGTGAATTAAGAAAAAATATGCTTTCTTTGTCATCTTGCAATTATGTCTCTATTTATAGATACAATATGAATATTTCCTGCATCATGGTTTTTATAAGATTTGGGGGTAGGAGGGAAATTGCTGAAAAAGTTGCCAAATATTTAAAGTAGGAGATTAAATGTTATCTTGATATATTAGAAATTGTCTGTTTTTCTTTCTTGAACATCAAATTATTTTCAAACACATCTCAAAGATCCAAACTTTTTTTAATGAAAAATGAGTTTTTCACCAAGTAAAATATATGCATTTGTAATACTTTGGTTTAGACAATACCTTTAATTTTTACAAATTTGGGAAATGTAATTGTTATATTAGGGAGTTCATTGGTAAGCGTGTTCTTTTACCCTCATAATGTCAAATTTTGGTGTTGAACCACAGACATCCAATTATAGAAAGAACATAAGCAATCTCGCAAGCCTGCAATCGGACGCTGTCTCTGTGTGGTTCACAGGAGATGATTTTTGTGGTTTGCACGCATGCAATGTGAGAACACCGTTGACAAGAAGGCTGAGTTTACATAAATGATCTGGACTGAGACTCAGCTACCTTTCTTCCTCATGTGGTGTAATTACAGCCCTATCTGGAGACAGCGAGCACAGCAAACAGATTTGATTACCTACTTCACTCAAACACTAAGGGAAGTTATTTTAGTTAAATTCCTCCCCCTCAACACCCAAAAGTTTGATCCCTGCCCAGCATGTGGCATGCAATGAACAGAAAATGTAAGGTTAAGATATTGTTTTATGAAATATTTTAAGTGGACTTAAAATATTTTAATTGTGTGGTTTCTACTGCTGCAATCTAAGGCCTATAGATTGTGAGTAGCATGCTCCACTCTCCTGTTTGAACTGTCTTTTCTCACTGAGTTGGCTTAATTAGTAACTACAGCTACCATGCTTTAGATGAGACTGGGTTTTAATCATTAACTRTGCCAGGGAGGGGGAGTGCCTTCATGTTAGATGCACAGGAACCTCAGGGAGCTGCAGGTTCCAGGAAGCAGATGGACAGGTACTGCAGTGCACAAGGCAGGACCCTGGGGCTTCTCCGATTCTGGCTTAGATCTGGTATGCTGTATATCTTGAACAAGTCACTTCCCTCTCAGCCTCAACTGCCTCTTCTGTAAAATTGGATTTTATGAGATAATTTATGAAGTCCCTTCCAGGTTTGTCTTATTTTCTAAAAGTTTACCATTTAAGATTGTCTCGATAGCAAACATGCTGTAAGAGATTCATGGAGGAGGAAAAGCAACTTGCAAAGAGAAGCTCTGAGGAAATGCAGAAAGCTTCCCCTTACATGACATGCCCCTAGACTCTTGTGTTTCAACACTCACCTTTCTCCTCTCTTGGGGACCTTTCCTACCTCCTGTTCCATTCCGTTTACTTTGCCATCTGGACTTCTAAGCTCCTGGATGCCTGAGAGCAGCAGGCCCACCTTACAGAGCTCTGCCTTTGCCCCCAGGGGTGCCTTTCTCCTCAGGTCACACTCAGCAGTTTTCACTTCCTCAGCATCTTGGCAAGTGTTTGTTTGTTTGTTTGTTGTAGGACAAACYCACATGCTAGGCAAGCACTCTACCGCTGAGCTACATCCCCAGCCTTTTAAATTTTATTTTGAGGCAGGGTCTCACTAAATTGCCCAGGCCAGCCTCAAACTTCTGATCCTCCCACCTCAGCCTCCTTAGTCACTGGGATTGCAGGCTGTGTAAAAGGCCCTGCTCTTTTTTTTTTCTCTTTTTTAATATTTGGTGGACACATCATCTTTATTTTATTTTTAAGTGTTGCTCAGGATCGAACCCAGCGCCCTGGGCATGCCAGGCGAATACGCTACCGCTTGAGCCACATCCCCAGCCCAGCGCCTGCTCTTGACAAGCTTTTTTAAAAGCTTACATGTTGACAAATCTACTCTAGAGTATGAAATGCCGATAGCCTTCCTCCATGCACATTCTTTTTTTTTTTTTTTTTGAGAGAGAGAGAGAGAATTTTTTGACATTTACTTTTTAATTTTCGGCAGACACAACATCATCTTTGTTGGTATGTGGTGCTGAGGATCGAACCCGGGCCGCACGCATGCCAGGCGAGCGCGCTACCGCTTGAGCCACATCCCCAGCCCGCTCCATGCACATTCTTAAAGGATATTTATTTATTAGCTCACACCAAGTTTTTATAATTTCAGACACCTCTAAGGAGAAAGTTTAGGTACCAAGACATTGCTTAATCATACCTCTCAACCTACTGCCTGGGTATGACTTAGTGGAGATAATGAATAGAGAGAGTCAATGGCTCTCCAATGCCTCCTTTACCTCAGCTTAATTCCTTCCCCATCCTGAGTTTCTTACTAGAGGGAAGAGTTCATTAGCCGTTGTCCTGCTTCCTCCCACCTGTTACCCCCAAACTTAAAGTTGGTGCCTCCAAACCTTACTTTAGGCCATGAACCTAACTGCACTCTCCTCCCTACCAGCTTTTTCTTTATTAGCATAATAAATGGTGTATTCTGCCAGGTCTGGTGGCCAACATCTCTGTAACCCTAGTGGGAGAGGGGTGTGTGGGGAGGGGGATGAGATAGAAGGATCACAAGTTCAAAGTCAGCCTCAGCAGCAACTTAGCAAGGTCCTAAGCAACTTAGTAAGACTATCTCAAAATAAAAAGGGCCGGGGATGTGGCTCAGTGATTAAGCGTTCCTGGGCTAAACCCCGTTACCTCCCACACCCACCAGACAGAAAGAATAAGACTTTTCTCATTTCCAAAGACCTCAGACCTGTTTCCTCCTGTCTCCTTCCTGTCCCTGTTCTTGAATCTTAGGTTTCTTCTCTATGAATGTGCCCAGGTCTCCCTGTGCCTAAAATCCCTCACTTTTCCCTATATATTCTTCCACCTGCACTTTCTCTCTCCTAATTTTATCAACAAACCTTCTTACAGTTTACAAACTCCTTAACTTTACAACTGGCCATTCACTCCTAGGTCCTCACCATCTCGCCCATTGCTTGGGCTTTGTGTACTCAAAGAATGCTTGAACAAAGACTTCAGGTGCCTCTGCACTGCTCTCCTGAGATGGCTTCTTCAAGATCACTGATGGTGTCCCCCCTCAGACCTCCCTGTCTGCAGCATTTCATATTGTAGCTGGCCCCTGGGTGCTCATGGATCCACTTTGGTTCAGATTCCCCCTCTTTTCTCTGAATAGCCTTCTTTTTCTTACTCCTATAGCCATTCTTTTCTAAAAATATCAATTACTCTTCCCCCAGAAATTACAAAGCAGTTTCCTGTCCCACTAAATCTGATTTATTTCTTCGGTGCTAGATATTGGACCAGGACCTTATGCATACTAGGAAAGCTCTCTACCTCTGAGCTACATCCCCAGCTCCTGAATCTTTTTTTAAAATTCTCTGAGTTAGAGCTGGCTGTATGGCTCAGTGGTGGAGTGTTGGCTTAGCACATGTGTGTAAAGCCCTGGGTTTGAGCCCCAGGACCATGTACACACACCAAAAAAAGCACTCCCAACAGGATGCTCATTTATTTCTCATTTCCTATCTTGACTGCTGATCTCTTCTCAGATAAACTGTTTTTGGTTTTGTTTTCTTTTCTTTTCTTTTTGGACTGGGTTCTGTCTTCCCATTAAGGAGATTATAGACATCTCGAAGTGACCTTAGAAGAAGTGTCCCCATGGGAAGGCCAGCACTGCTATCCATCCTCCCTTTAGCTAAMGCCCTGTCCTCCAGCTCTGAAGTGCTAGGCTCTAGGCCTCTCCCCGTGGGTCAAAGTTTGTCTTTAATACAAATTGCTTTCTCATGATAGAAAGAGACTCTTTCTCAGGATTCTACTTTTCTTTTTTGGAGATGCCTATCTTCATGGAAAAATAGCATCTAGCTTTTATCTAGTGGCTCTGCTCACATCTAGGATTGACAGTGTGTGCATCCTTGTGCACCCTGTGAACTAATAAGCGTGTTGGATTGCCACTGTCTTAGCCATTAGAGTAGCTTGAATTTCACTTAATTTTTTTTTCTCTTCAAACACATCTAAGTAAATAATCAACTTACAGAAATCTTGGGGGGGGGAAGGTCATTCATAACCACCACCCTAAAATAATCAGTATTATCAATTTCATTTCAGTATTACTGTTTCATTTGTATTTCTTCCAGCCTTTTTTTGCCATGCGGGATTTTTTTTTTTTTGCATGTTGTAATTACAGTATAATTTCAACTTTGGGTCCTGCTGTGTTCATGTAACACATTATAAACATTTTCCCATGGTGCTGCAGCCTTCACGACTATTATTAATGAGTGGTTTAAATGTTAAACRAGGCATCTGAATTTCTATTCCTGGTTGTTTCTTCTGGTGTAAATAAGTATATTAAAATGGGCTAACTTTGTAAGTCAGCCTCCAGACCCACTATTAAGAAAGTCTTTGGGGCTGG